AAATGCCAATCCGAATCACATTGAAGCTAATAGACAAGGGATTATAAAACAAAGGGCACCTGGAGCTGGGCAATGCCCTTAAGGATAATGCAAAAAATAAAAAGTTGAATAATCCCTGGAGTAAATTAGAAATTAAAAATGTCTTTAAATGACAAGTTTAAGGGATGCGGTAAACCTTCCTGTGAATTGGCACACCTGTAGGATTTGTAGGATCTACTGCAGCAAATGCCTGTTTGCAAATATGCAAACAGGCAGTAAGGGCTGAATCATATTTTAGTCTGAACCCCAAACTTTGCATTCCTCGCTACACTGCACTGCATATACCAATTTACTTTGCATAATCTTTGGCATTAGGTTTTCTTGGATGTACAAGCTTCTGTCTCAGAAGCTGGGCTTGAAAGACTCATGGATGCAATGTGTGGTAAAAGTCCTTTTGAGTTTTTCGACACTCTAGCACCATACAGGATGACTATCTTACTCCATAGGTTTCACTCCACCCCTCTCTTCAGCGGCCCAATTCTTCTTGCTGGATCTTTTGCATGTTTTTATGAAAACCCACTCTGGGTAGTCACAAACTTTCATAGCACTCTTGAAATGTCTGTGTTGTTTGTCTTTAGACTCAGCCCAGTTTTGCAGAGTTCTAGTAACCCACAGTGTATGTTCCAATAGGCGGTGAGAGTAAAACACAGATGCTGGTCTGTGTGGGTTTACTTTAGAAATCAATGCCCAAGTCACCTGCTCCCTGACATTTATCAAGCAATCTAAAAACATTTGTTTAACTTTTTTTTTTACTGTTATGGACAGTCTAGCATCTCTTTCTTGTAGTACTGGGATATGTTCCTAATCTTTCTTAGAACTGAAGTAGTGGCTCAAAGCTGCCGCAGGATCTGTTGGCTCTGGAGGAAAGTAGAGATGAGATGTATTTAATTTCAAGATAACACAGCTTCCCATATCAACCCCAGGGATTTGTATAGGTTTTTAGTTCCTTGAATAAAAATGAAAGGTGGTCTTCAAATCTACTTTACTAAGTGATAACATTTAGCTGGACTCGCTCTGTAATGAAGGAGACTGTTCACTACTCATCCAAGTTGTTTCTTAAGCTCAAATTATTGTCAGGAACACACCCCAGCATTAATAGCCCCACAGGTAACCCAGTCACCTTAATCCAATCACTATTGGATATGACAGGGCAGATGCTGGTGCTTACAGTTGGTATTCTGTAGCTGCTCCCTTGTCAAGGCCCATTTTTTCATACAATGCACAGTGTTTCTGGGAAAGAGCTCTTCCTATCCCTAGACCATTCCCAATGTAATCCAGTAATGAGATGCAGGGAATGGGAAGGGGTATGTTTGGACCTTGGCACTGTCACATGTGTGGTAGTGCTTTGCTGCCTTTATACAGGATTTGTGTATATATGTGCTATGTCAGATCAAATTATTCTTTAGAATTTTAAGTATAAGTCTACTTCAACTCTAATAAATGTTCAAACAGCAACTTTGAGTGAACTGACCCTCTAAACACTACTACAGTGTTTTTACTTAAGGTATGCTTTTATTTCCAGACAGGAAGGTGCAGACTTTACCACTATAGTCCCCAAAGTATTTTATGTGTGATGGGCAATTAAACAGATTCTAATACTAAATAGTCTATGGCAGGGCTCAAAATTTCCACTCGCCCCCCTCGCAAATTGCGAGTGAAAATTGCGTGGGGGCGAGTGGAAATTAAGCCATTGAGTCAGGCACTCCTCGGGGCGGCTTCTCTCCTCCTCACCGACATGATGACAGCGCTCCCTCGTCTGTCCGTCCGGGGTCGCAGGAGGGAGTGCTGCCTGCTGTCAGGATGGCCGAGCGGGAGAGAAGCCGCGAGGAGAGAAGCCACCCCAAGGGGGAGAGAAGCCGTGCTCACAGCTGTCAGGATGGCCGAGCGGGGAGGAGATCAGAGCCGCTGTCATCCTGTCAGTTTCAGGATGACATCGGCTCTGTGCGTGGCAGAGCGGGGATCTGTAAATATAATTGATCCTCCGTGTGAGCAGGACAAACACTGGAGCGATCGTCTGATCACTCCAGTGTTTGTAAGTAACTGGGGACACATAGTGCTATGTGTCCCCAGTTATGAATGAACAGGCTGTGATTTACATTACAGCCTGTTCATTCTGGATTTCCTCAATGGGGAGTAGCACTCAGTACAGAGGTTCCTCCCCATTCAGAAACTATTGATAGTAAATATTTTACTATCAGTGTCTGAATGAATGGGAAGCCACTGTACTGAGTGCTTCCCATTCACTGAGTGCTGAGGCTGCTGAAATAAAAGTAAAAACTAGCCCCATTGCCCCCCCCCCTCACACGCATATTATTAGACATGTGCGAATACAAAAAATGTATTTCAGATGAAATGTGTATGTGTAATGCTCTGTGCGTTGTGCTGTGGCTGTATGTGTGTTGTGCTGTGTGCGCATTGTGCCCTGTGTGTGTTTGTTTGTGTTATGAAGGGCAACTGGTGGCGAGTAACTTTGAAGGCCTGGCTAGTAGCTCAGGACCTGACATTTTGAGCCCTGGTCTATGGGGTCTTGCCTAAAAATATGTGTTTACTATTTGTTCACTTTAAATGCTAGTTTTGGTATAACTGTTGAAAATGTTTTTTTTCTGCTGAATACTGTTTAGTTTCTGGAATAGTATCAGTAGTTTCTGCCTATACCTTCCTATAATTCCTTTATTTTGCCCCAGCGCCTTCCTGTCATCCTTTTTGTGGTGCAATACAATTACACTTACATCCATTTAAATGCATAAGAATAATTTTATTGAGCAGGTTCTATAGTTATCCAACATGTTATATTTTTACAAAGAGTATCATTTCAAATGCATGGAATATGTTATAAATTATACATGTGTAAAAAAATATATAATCTACCATGTTTTGGAAATCTGCCAATAAGATCAAATAATTTCAGAGCATTTGTTAGCATATAGGGCAAGATATAGAATCAAAAAGCAATAGTTTGAAATAATAATTTATTTAATTAAAATATGGTCAAGTTATCAGTTTCATTTATGTATGCATCGTCCTCAAAAGCTAGATTAACCTGGCCCCCTGACTCCTTACTGACTGCCTTCATGTTGATGTTTTCCTTGGTGCCCTTTTCAAGTTTGTCACTGTCATTTGTATTGTCATTGTATGCCAAATTGACTTGACCTATTGTCTTGTAATTTTCCTCCTGCATTTTACCATCGTCACTTGTCTTGAATTCCCTTTCATTGTCAGGTTCTTGCCTTAAATTGTCATTAAATGCCATGTTCATCTGGTACTCTGGCTCATTATATGAAAAACGTATAGATTCGGAATTTGAGTTGTCTCCACTTTCACCGGAATCAGATGACTCTAAAATCCCACTCTTCTTTTTTCTGTAAAGGAAAGCACATATCAAATTATTAAGTAGAACTGTGGTCAAAGGTCAAAGGACGTGTATAATGCAATCTGTCAATTGCAGCAAAGCAACATTAACTGTTTATCTGAGCAGCCCCTGTAATGTACTAGTAGGTTTTGACGCTGTCAGTTGATCTGTTGATTTTTAACTTCTTTCAGGAGGGTGACACTGTTTACTCTCTAGTGAAATCATTGCACTGTTGTCACACTGTGTGGACATTTTTGTTATAGTTATAGTTAGTATAGTTTTTGTCATAGTTTTGGATGGATTTTATGTCAGGGAAAAAAGTCTAACTCTAGATAACACATTTTAAGCAATTACAGTATCAGCATTCATTTCTTTTTAAAAGTGAAAAAAAAAAAGATTTAAGCCATATGAATAAAAGATGAACGATGTAAACACCCCATAGAGTGTTATAGATTGTCCATACCCCTGTAACTTTCACTTTTGTTGTAAATGGCCTGCATGTAAATGTGAGGGTAAACTACAAAGAAAGGCATGTGAAATATACCAAATAATTATCACGGGTCTTAACACATACAATTACTGAAATAAAATATTTGTTTGCTAAAGTGGTCCTTTAAAATGAACCATAATTTAAATATTATAATAATCACCTCTCCATAAATGTAATTTCATGTGTGACCTGTAATTATATGCTTTATTTTCACTTTGCTGGGGGCATTCAGTAAAGGCAGAGCACCAGTTTTTTTGCCCAGTTTTTTTTTACAACATTTTCAGGTGGTTTTTTAAGGGGTCCCTTTATGAATTTGTCACTTTGGCTGCAACAGATTCAAAAAGAATTACAGCCAGTTTTCTATTCTGTAAAGAAATTAGGACCAACTCTGATTGGGTGCATAGGGAGATGCCAGTGCTCAGAGAGGCATGTATGTACTGGGAATCTGATATTATTGTGACAGCTTCTTATTCAGTGGTTGCTAGGGCACAGGGCCACAATTATGCATCCCCAGCCCCATTTAGCTGGCAGCCGGGAGATTTCCCAGCCAGCAGCCAAATGTAAAGAAAGGGGTGAGGGATGCTGGCTGACATCATTACTTGGGGCCAGGGGTGAGTCACTAGTTGCTAACACAGCAACACTGCCTACTGCCAATCAGCAGCAAACAGACCTAATGGGAAATTAGTCTCTTGGCATCCCCATCAGGCTCTGTCCACGTGTAATGTCACTGGTTGTTAAGAACCCTGTCGGCTCTGGTATAGACACTCTGGCCTTAGTGTGCCTCTGCGCCACCAATGGCAGTGTTTACACCAAATTCATGTACCTGTTTCCAACAGGTAACAGGTACTTGAAGAATTCAGAATTCTGTCATGCACATGCATGACAGAATTCTAAAGAGTGTTGTGGACACTTTTTATGAATGTAATTGACTCTGTTTTGGTATAAGAGTTAGAACTGCTACTTGCGGCAACTGTTAATAAACTAGCACCAGAAGCTGTGGTAAGACTAGGCTCCAATAAACAGGTTTTATAATTTCTCCAAATATATCAGCAAGTTTGTGTAGTGTTGGCTCAACTAGAAATGCAGGCAAAATGATATCTGTATCGTAAACACTATATTTGCTTATATAATCTCCCATTTGTTAGAAAAATATACATACCTAGATTTTAAGCAACAATATGCAGCAATAACAAACACAAAGGTTATGATGAAGACTCCAAGAACGACACCAATCACAATGTATATAGCTGTGTTGTTAACTAGAAGAAATAAAGGAAATATTTATCAGAATGGGGCAATTTGAACAATATCAAATTCATTTTTAAAGTAATACAAGACATTTACCTACATGTCTCTACCAAATTAGATAAACAGTATATGATGATAAAATGATACCAGCAAAAATAACTATAATTTTGTGAATACTAAAACAACAAGTTTATTTTAAATCTCTTTAAAAAGTGCAAAGTGCAGTATGTGCAGGCATGACCATCAGTCTAATTATGCCAGGCTATTGAAAGCTGAGCTCTGATTGGTTGTTATAGGTTATTGTACATTACTGCACTTTGTGCTATGTTATGAAATAAATGCCAATAATTATTCTTGCCACAGTGCAGAATTGTTCTGGCCATCACTTTATTTGACATTCAACCTTATTTCACCCATGTCATCCATGTCACATACCGATAGAAACATATTTATTCCAGGAAAATGAAAGCTATGATCTTATTTCATAAAAGGGACAAAACTACTGTCACAATCCTAACAATTGCTAAAAGATGTACTGTATATATTTCTGGTATTTGTAGTTAACTAGTCACTTACTTTCATTCTCCTCCTCACAGAAGGGTCCTTTATGGCTGTTGGGGCATATACAGCGCATACCATTGGTAGTATTGTCTGTTCCTGGCAATTCCTCACAGGTACCACCATTCTCACAAGTGTTCTCCAGACATGGGCTTGCTGTAGGATTTACAATATACAATATTATAAATGAAAGTTTCCATACAATACATTTTAAATATTATTTCCTAGAGGTCTGTAGCTTATGGTTCTTCTAAAACATGCAGTCATTGTGTCATTGTTTTACAAACATGTAATTAAAGGCCTATTTTTAATTTCTAATTCCTTTCAAAGGTATGTAGGCCCACTTACGAATATAGCATCCACGAATCTGACTGGCTGTAGTACATTCCTCCCCAGCTTTACACTGCATGGCATCACAAACTACAGATGAGCTATCTGTGCAAGTGCAGCTCTGTGAACAATCATCTGTGATGAAGTTATCTCCGGTCTGCAAGAAAGTGCACAAATATTAGGCAGGGTAAAATACTAAACTTATTTATACTAAAGTAATAATAGCCCTGCCCTAGCCATTAGTTTTTAAATAAGACGATAGATTTTAAGCTTCAAGTTGACTATTGAGGATGCTGTTTGTAGGGAAACTATTTAAATTACAAGAATTATTTTAGAATTTTAGTGAACGGCTGCTAAATAGTTACAAACAAAAATACACAGGAAAATACACTGATGTTAATGCAACATGCTTATACTATCTTGCCAAAACTGATTGCATTATATACAAGGATCTATGTTTAGCTTTAATAAATCTAAATTGAGCCAATTAAATCACTGCACTTTTAAATAGCAATGTTATTTAAATATGCTTAATCTAATTATAAGTGTTATTACCTTGTAATATTTATTGAGGTAAGTACAGCCACAATCTTTGTACGGCACACAGTCATATCCACTGAGTATGTACCCAGGCTCACACTGGCATCCTTCAGTGCACGGCGCCTCACATTCAGACTCTGATGCCATGTTGCTGCAGGATGCAGGACAGGCACTCATGCAGTCTTTGTAAACACTGTTAGCAGGGCAGGTCAAAGCTGTTTGAAAAAAATATAGGATTCATATTAATCTGAGAAGTGTTTATTACATCACGTGTAGTAGAAAACTGCGGAGTGTTTATAATACTCCACAGTTTTCTACATTATAGGAGAAATACTAACACAGTTTAATTACAAAAAGCTTACCACAGCCAGTCCAATCTCTCCAGCCATCAACAGTGCTTTCGTTTTGCTGGCAGGCATATGCGTACTGCTCAAGGTTAATACATAATAACTCTTTGCTTTGGAACTCAGCGCATGTGTCAAAGAGGCAGTCCCTTTAAATTGAATTGCATAAAATGATCAGTGATGGACACAAACAATATTCTGCCTATCAGAAGCAATTTTAGATATCATACCACGAGTTGCATTCTAATAATACCATCCAACTTTGAATGGAGTTTCATGTCTGACTAAATGATGTTTTTAAATAAGACGATAGATTTTAAGCTTCAAGTTGACTATTGAGGATGCTGTTTGTAGGGAAACTATTTAAATTACAAGAATTATTTTAGAATTTTAGTGAACGGCTGCTAAATAGTTACAAACAAAAATACACAGGAAAATACACTGATGTTAATGCAACATGCTTATACTATCTTGCCAAAACTGATTGCATTATATACAAGGATCTATGTTTAGCTTTAATAAATCTAAATTGAGCCAATTAAATCACTGCACTTTTAAATAGCAATGTTATTTAAATATGCTTAATCTAATTATAAGTGTTATTACCTTGTAATATTTATTGAGGTAAGTACAGCCACAATCTTTGTACGGCACACAGTCATATCCACTGAGTATGTACCCAGGCTCACACTGGCATCCTTCAGTGCACGGCGCCTCACATTCAGACTCTGATGCCATGTTGCTGCAGGATGCAGGACAGGCACTCATGCAGTCTTTGTAAACACTGTTAGCAGGGCAGGTCAAAGCTGTTTGAAAAAAATATAGGATTCATATTAATCTGAGAAGTGTTTATTACATCACGTGTAGTAGAAAACTGCGGAGTGTTTATAATACTCCACAGTTTTCTACATTATAGGAGAAATACTAACACAGTTTAATTACAAAAAGCTTACCACAGCCAGTCCAATCTCTCCAGCCATCAACAGTGCTTTCGTTTTGCTGGCAGGCATATGCGTACTGCTCAAGGTTAATACATAATAACTCTTTGCTTTGGAACTCAGCGCATGTGTCAAAGAGGCAGTCCCTTTAAATTGAATTGCATAAAATGATCAGTGATGGACACAAACAATATTCTGCCTATCAGAAGCAATTTTAGATATCATACCACGAGTTGCATTCTAATAATACCATCCAACTTTGAATGGAGTTTCATGTCTGACTAAATGACAACTCAAGCCATTTAAACTTAATATCTCTCACAAAAAGCTATTAAATAATGTAAATTGACCATTTTTAAAGGTAATATTTTTTTAAACATATACTGCACATACATAAACAGTACTTACTCAATGAAATCATCTGGTGGTACAAAATTGTTACAATATCTAAATGGTCCAAGCGGGTCTCTCATAACTCCACAGAATGAAGAGCTGTTAACAAAGTTCAGACCAGATGCTGAACAGGCAAAATTGTCTCCTGTGTTTAATGGGATATCTTCTTCAAATGGCATCACAGCAGCACGTCTGCAGAGAATATAAGTTTGCAGTATTAATTCACAAGATAAAACGTGGCAAATGGTAAAAGAAGACTTTTTCTCAAAAAAATTTTTTTTTTTAAATTTTAGACAGTGGCTTCAAATCTGTTAACAGTTTGTGTGAGATATGTTAAAAAAGCTTATTATCCATCATTCGGTGCTATCACAGTGGAGCTGCATTGCCTGTCTAGGCATGACCAGGAAGTGCCACCGGTAGTATACACATAATAAAAAAATTGCTAGAAGAAAGAGAAATAAGTATTTTGGCAAAGAAGACCTTGCATGTCTCTTATGCCAAAATATTCTACCTTCTGGCAATTTTATATCTTAGGAGTTTATTTCCTCCTAAAATACATTTCATATTTAAACAAAAAAAGGCTACTCTTTGTGAATCAATGTGAATACAAGAAACAAGAATAGTTACAATATAATTTATATGCAGAAATATGTTGTTTCTTTTTATTGTAAAAGCATCAACATACTCATTATCCATTACAATAAAACAAGGTTGTTCTAAATAATACAAACACATCTTTATTCTTTTGAGAAATATAAAAGGAAATTAAACCACAACATAATTGGGTCTCTGCCTTTAGTTTCAAAAGTGGGGAACAACTCCACAAGTATGACATACCTGACCCTAGTAGCTCTACTGAGTGATTTAACATTCCAGCTTTCACCAAATGGCTCTACATCTCTAATCAGACTGCCATCAGGACTGGTAAAGTCATTTGAGCTTTGCCCGTCAAAGTTGCCACAAAGCCCTTCAAGCAAATTTCTGTGGGTGTTTGGCACAGTAATTTCTTTAAAAACAAATAGCAAAACAAATGTAAAATTGGTTAGTTTAATTGCCAACAAATATTTTAAGCTGCATTACTGTTACATACATTTCCTGTCTCTTTAAATGTACTATAATCTAAATTGACATACTTTAAAACATTTTTTTGCAAAAATTGATCCACACATGGTCCTAATCTAATGAATTCTGAACCATACATGTGCTCCCATCCCAACAAGTACAAAGAACACACCTCAATGATAACAAACCTTATTTGTAATTTTTCACTTTTTACCTTAACAGGCCTTGTGATTGCAGCTGTATCTACATCAAACTGTTGCTTCTAGAAACACTTTGGAGGTATCTGTTCCTGGAGGGAACATTGGGATGTTCACTCCAGAAACATCCATTAAACCAGTAAATACTGGTTTAATGTATGCCATGAAACAAAATCATAACGCTGCAAGCTATAAATGAATATGGATTGTTTGGATGTTGTGCACTATTCTTTCTTCATGCACCGCTATGCTTTCTACTTGCTGTTTATTGTATGTCTCCTATTCATCATTTCACCCTGTTCTGTCCCACTACCACCTGTGTGGTGTTTCCACTGTTCCTGTTCCTGTCTATCAAGGGGTCTCCTTTTAACACTGGATGAAACATATGCTTCTAATCATGACTATTTTTTTATGTATTCAGCTCCTGTGTTGTTTTCTATTCCCCATGCCTTGCTTATGTTTAGCCAGTACGCTCTCCTGCTAACCCCCTATTCAAGCCTAAGTTGTTCACTTGCTCCTGTTATGCATTGTTACTGATTTTATACCTGGTGTCTGTTTGCTTCCCGCCTTGAGTGTCTATTAACTTTCTTGGTAAGCTTTTGCTCTAGCACTAGCTGTTGGGTTGCTTCTATCAGCCGCACAACTATGTATTATCAGGCCCTGCCCACTAATGGTAAGCCATTACCACCAACTTGTGACTTAAGCATTAGTCCCCGTTCTATTTGTATATCATGTATTTTTTAGTCTTGGTCTGTTTAAACAGTTTTGACCCCTACTCTTGGCTGACTTCCTCCTCTGACATTTGGCCCTCAGCAATGCTTTAGACCATGATGTTTTTTATGCTCCTGCTATTTCTAAGAAATAACTCTATAGATCATTGTGCATTTATGGTGTAGTATTAGTATAGTAATGTATAAATCTTTGCTTCTTTAGCTTGTACTGGCTTTAGTGTAGTCTGCAGGGTTTGGACCACACCATCCTAGTACCTTCCACTGACTCAGCCAGAAGAAATGTTTCAAACCAAGGTGACGTATGGGCAGAGTTCTCTTTCTGCATCCAGTCCCTATGGTGACCTAGCTTCATATTTTCAGTTCACATGCAAGAAGTTACTTTTCAAACTTTACTTTATATACGTCTACTATTGATATCAGCTTTTTTAAAGAAAATGATTGTGATTCTTTTTATCTATGTTGTGCCAAGAAACCATGCAGAGTTGTGCAAGGCGCACTGAACTATATACATCATCCAAATACTAATGTGGTCAGAAGCTAAATTATTTACAAGTATGTTTTTAGCTTGTAGTATGATACAAATGATTCTGACCATGGACTTCCCACAGTGTGTAGTCATGGCACATTTTAGTAAGATGGTAAAAGATGTATTAACGGTTTTTTTAAACTAGTGCAAATGCAAAAGTTAAAAGCAAATGCTGCCATATTATAAATATCCGACTTGGAGAATTTAATTGCCCCATCCAACTTTACATAACTACTTTATATACTCTATATGTGCTGTGAGTGCTCCCCCTTATGTTGTCCTGATAAGGGGTAAGGGGGAAGCAGATCAGCTAAATAAATAAGCAGATACATTATTCAAAGAAAGAGATGATAGATGGATAGACAGACAGACAGACAGACAGATAGATAGATAGATAGATAGATAGATAGATAGATAGATAGATACAGTTTGCACAGCACTTTACAATGAAAGGAAGACATTACAATACAATTCAAGACAAGATGGTAAGGGCCCTTGAGAACTTACAAACTGAAAGGAAGGGACAAGTGATACATGCAAGGTTTAGCATGAGGTGGGATAGGCTTCCCTGAAGAGATGAGTCTTTAGGGATCGCCTAAAGGCAGTCAGAGTAGGAGATAGATGGTCAGGTTGGGGTAAGGAGTTCCAGAGGATGGGAGAGACTATAGAGAAGTCCTGGAGGCGAGCATGGGAGGAGTTGACAAGGGAGCTAGAGTGCAAGGGGTGTTTGCAAGAGCAGAGGGGGCTGTTACGGTGAAACTTTGAGACGAGGTTGGAGATATAGCCGGGGCAGAATTGTGGATGGCTTTGTAAGTGGCTGTTAATATTTTGAATTTTTTCTTTTGGGTGATTGGAAGCCAGTGCAGAGATTGGCAGGGGGGTTGCAGACACTGAGCAGTTGGTTAGGTGGACGAGTCTGGCAGCAGCATTCATGATAGACTGAAGAGGGGATAGCTGTGTTATCAATATCAATGGAAAAGTTGGGGGAAGGTGCATGGGCAGGAGGAAATAACATGAGCTCAGTTTTTGAAAGATTGAGTTTTAAGAAGTGTTGTGATTGATATGTCAGTTAGTAAATTAGTGATACGCAAGGACACTGAGGGGGTGAGATGTGGAGTGGAGAGATAAATTTGAGTGTCAACGGTATAGGGATGGTATTTGAGGTTATCAACTGACCAATTAACTTACCAAGGGAGGAGGTGTAGATAGAGAAGAAAAGGGCTTTAAGTGCAGAGCCTTGGGGGACCCATACAGAAAGAGGAAGAGGAGGGGTGGAGTTAGATTTGTAGATGACACTAAAAGAGCGCTTGGATAGGTAGGAGGAGAAGAGACTTGTAGGTAAAGCAAGTGGAGTTTTTTTAGGAGCAGCAGGTTTTCAACTGTGTCAAAAGCAGCAGAAAAGTCTAATAGCAAGAGTAAGGAGTAGTGGCTGTTGTTTTTTGCAGTTAGTAAGTCATTAGTGAGTTTTAGGAGGACGGTCTCAGTGGAGTGTTGGGTGCGGCAGCGGTGGTTCTATTTTAGGCTTTCTAGGAGTTTGGAGGTGAATGGGAGTAAGGAGGTTGGTCTGAGATTGTTAAGGTTAGTGGGGTCCAGTGAGGGTTTTTTGGTTATTGGGGTGACCAATATAGAGATATAGATAGATCTTCAAAGTTAGATTAGAATATACATATTGTGTTGTATTCATAGTACCTGCATTTTCATTGCCATCAAAGCTAACAGAAAGACCAAAATCAGTTTCCAGGAAGATTCTAGTTGGCATCTGGTAGATGTTTATTCCTTCATGTGGACGGACAGGAGGGACTGTTCTCACTCCATTCAGCTACAAAGCAGTGCAAATATATTACTATAATGTAACAATTTATTACACAAAATATCCAAATATGAATGTTTTAACAGTGTTAATAACATAAAAATTCATGTATAAATATATTAGCACTGCAGTAAGGCATATAGAGTTTGTGATCTCTTATCTGTGACTTCTGTAGTGCCCCCACACCATTTTCAAAAACATGCATGTGTACCACATGTGTACCACAGACACAATTAATTTCTGTGAAAGGTTTGTATGCAGCCTTTTAGCTTGTTGTTAGGCTTTCTTTTAAAAATAAATATGTATGTTGTGCTGTGAGCACATTAGTTGTCTGGAAATACTTTTATAGGGAGGGCAATGCATTTCCAGGCAGACCTCTTCTACACTTAATTTGGTGTATGACCTGAGCACAGGTTTACTGGGAAGTGAAAATACGCCCAAATTACCCATCAAATATTGTGTTGCCTCAACAATATGTAATGATCAATTCCTTCCAAACAATAAGCCCTGTATTAACATTTCTCATAAAGATGCCCCTTTCTGTGCATATTTTAACCTCTTGCCGTCCGCCCGTAGTAAAAAAACGGACGGACGGCACTTTTTTTTTTTTTTATTTCGGTAATTTTTCCTTAATATAGTAAAAAAATAAAACCCCCAGTGGTGAATAAATACCACCAAAAGAAAGCTCTATCTGTCCCCAAAAAAGGGTATAAAATTCATTTCAGTACAGCGCTGCATGACGGAATAAATGTCAGTCAAAGTACCGCAGCGCTGAATACTGAAAAATGGCCTGGATGGGAAGGGGGTTTAACACCGCGGATGTCAACTGGTTAATAAATATCCTCTTTATGAGAGCTAAAGGCCAACACTTTGCATGTTTCTTAAACCCAGCTGTCTCTCACAGCTACGGTTCCCACTAATAATCATGAACCAATCAGAGTGTTTCCCAAGTATGTGATCACCAACTCATTTATGACATAATGATTACATGCAAGCTGGAGGTGTCACTGACAAAATTGATACATGAAGGTGGCGTCTGTTTAATATCGCAACTCATATTTTTTTTTAATTGTTATTATTATTAACAATATTTTTGCTCACTCACCAGCCTATAATCACAAAAAACGGTGCAGATTTTTTTAAAATAGAGTGGGAAAAAAAAACCA